ATATTAAACCCTTGTCTGATATTTTGCTGGTAAATATGTTTTCCCAATTAGTTGGCTGTCTTTCTAGTTTGGCAGCTATTTCTTTGTCTGTGCAGAAATGTTTTATTTTAAGGTAGCCCCATTTGTCCAGTCTTTCTCCAATTTGTTGTGACCCTGGGACTCTGTTCAGGAAGCTCCTGTCTGTGCCTATAAGTTCAAGTGTCTCTCCTACTCTGTTCTGCAGTAGTTTCAGAGGATCAGGTTTGATGTTAAGGTCTTTAATCCATTTTGAGTTGATGTTGGTGCATGGTGACAGGCTAAGATACACTTTCAGTTTTCTGCATGTAGCCACCGAGTTTTCCCAGCATCAATAGTTGAAGATTATGATTCTTCCACTGTATGTCTTTGTCTCCTTTGTCAAATATCAACTGACTGTACATATGCAGCTTTATTTCTGGGTCCTCTAGGCTGTTCCGTTGGTCTTTGGGTCTCTTTTTGTGCCAGTACCAAGCTGTCTTTATTATTTTGGCTCTATAGTAGAGCTTGAAATCCAGTATTGTGATCCCTCCTGCATTGTTTCTTTTGCCTAGAATTGCTTTGGACTGTTGTTCCATATGAACCTTTGGACTGTTTTCTCTGTTTCAGTAAAGTACATCATTGGGATTTTAATAATTGCATTGAATGTGTATATCAATTTTGGCAGTATAGCCATTTTCACTAGGTTAATTCTGCCTATCCAGGAACATGGGAGATCTTTCCATTTCCTGGTATCCTCTATGATTCCTTTTTTAAGGCTTTAAATAGTTTTCATGAAATAGACCCTTTACATTGTAAAGTTAATTCCTAGATACTTTATTTCATTTGAGGTTATTGTGAATGGAGTTGTTTGCTTGATTTCCCTTTTTGCTTGTACATTGTTGGTGTACAGAAAGGTGAGTGGTTTTTGTGGGTTAATTTTATATCCTGCTACTTTGCCGAAGTGGTTTACAAGCTCTAAGAGTTTGGTGATGGAGCTTTTGGGATCGTTAAGGTATAAAATCATGTCATCTGCAAAAAGAGATAGTTTAACTTCTTCCTCCCTTATGTAGATACTTTTAATGTCTTTTTCTTGCCTTATTGTTCTGGCTAAGGATTCCAGAACTATATTGAGAGAGGGCATCCTTACCTTGTTCCTGTTTTTAGGGGAATTGGTTGTAGTTTTTCTCCATTATGTATAATATAGGCTGTTGGTCTGGCATATAAGGCTTTTGTTGTTTTAAGGAATGTTCCTTCTATTCCTATTTTTCCAGAGATTTTAACATGAATGAATGTTGTATTTTATCAAAAGCCTTTTCTGCATTAATGGAGATAATCATGTGGTTCTTGACCTTGGATCTGTTGATGTGATGGATTACATTTATTGACTTACATATGTTAAACCATCCCTGCATCTCTGGGATGAACCCTACTTGATCATAATGTATGATATTTTTTATATGTTTCTGAATTCTGTTGGCTATAATTTTATTGAGGATCTTTGCATCTGTGTTCATCAAAGAGATTGGTCTGTAGTTCTCTTTTTTTGTTGGGTCTTTGCCTGGTTTAGGAATGAGTGTGATATTGGCTTCATAGAATGAGTTTGGGATTACTCCCTCTTCTTCTATTTCTCTGAAGAGCTTGAGAAGTATTAGTTCTTCTTTAAAGGTCTTACAGAATTCTGTAGTGAATCCATCTGGTCCTGGGCTTTTCCTTGTTGGAAAGTTTCTGATTGCTTCCTCTATTGCGTTGTAGGTTACTGGTGTATTTAATTGATTTATTTCTTCTTGGCTCAGTTTGGGCAATTTGTATTTCTCTAGGAATTCATCCATTTCTGCTAGGTTTTCCTTCTTTTGTGAGTATAAAGTCTGGAAATATTTCTTTATAATTGTTTGGTTGTCTTGGATGTTTGTTGTAATTTTTCCTGTGGCATCTTTGATCTTATTGATTTGGGTCTCTTTTTTTTTAATCTTGCCAGTGATCCATCAATTTTATTGATTTTTTTTAAAAAACAGCCTTTTGTTTTATTAATTTTATTTATAGTTTGCTTAGTTTCTGTCTCATTAATTTTAGCTCTTATTTTAGTTATCGCGCTGTCTAGCAACTTTAGTTTCAACTTTTTCTACCAGTTTTAGTTGCATCATGAGATTGTTTATTTGGTCTGTCTCTGTTTTCTTGATGTGTGCACTGAGAGCAAAATACTTGCCCCTCTGGACTGCTTTCACTGTGTCCTATAGGTTTCTTTGTGATGTGTCTTCATTTTCATTGACTTGTAGGAAATTTTAAATTTCTTCTTTAATTTCTTCTGTGACCCATGTGTTGCTCAGCAGTGTGCTGTTTGATTTCCATGTGTTTGAGTTTTTTCTACCGTATGCCTTGTTATTGAGAACTAGTTTGATTCCACTATGGTCAGATAAAATACAGGGGATTATGTCAATCTTCTTGTATTTGCTTAAATTCTTTGTATGAACTAAGAGATGATCTATTTTAGAAAAAGTTCCATGGGCTGCTGAGAAGAATGTACTGGGTTGTTGTTGGGTGGAAAACTCAGTATATGTCAGTTAAGTAAGTCTGCTTGAAATATGACATCATTTAATTCAGAGATTTCTTTGCCAATTCTTTGGTTGGTAGACCTGTCCTTTGGTGAGAGTGGAGTATTAAGTCTCCTAGTATTATTGTATTTGAATCCATCATTTACTGTAAATCTGAGAGTATTTAACATTTGGGTGCACTAATGTTTGGGGCATATAGATAGATATCCTCTTCTTGGATTGTTACCTGTATTATTATATAGTGACCTTCTTTGTCTTTTTGTAGTGATTTTAGTGTAAAGTTAATTTTATCAGATATCATAATGACAAGTCCTGCCTTCTTTTTTGGGGGGGTCCGGTCATGGGGGCCTGAACTCTGGGCCTGGGTGCTGTCCCTCAGCTCTTCAGCTCAAGGCTCTACCACTCGAGCCATAGCGCCACTTCCAGCTTTTTCCTTTTTGCTTATGTGGTGTTGGGGAATTGAACCCAGGGCCTCATGCATGCAAGGCAAGCGCTCTACCACTGAGCCACCTTCCCAGCCCAACTCCTGCCTTCTTTCTGGGGGCATTTGCATGGTAGATCCTCCTCCATCCTTTCACTCAGAGTTTGCTTTTATCTTTGGCTGTGAGGCAGGTCTCTTGAAGACAGAAAATCTTGTTTTCTGATCCAATCTGCAGTTCTTTTTCTTTTGATTGATGAATTGAGTCAATTAATATTTATGGTCATTTTAGAGAGATGTATTGTATTTCCTGTCATTTTCTACTTTCCTGAGATTTTTTTCTTTCGTTTCCTCCTGTGTTTACTAAGTTGGTCTCCTAACAATATATATCTGGTCTGGATCCCTGTTCTTGAATGCTTTCTTTGGATTGTAATCCCACTCTTAATGTTCTTTGTAAAGCTGGCTCATTGTTTATGAATTCATTTAGTTTTTCTTTACTATTAAAAATTTTAGTTTCTCCATCGAATGTGAATGCTAGCTTCACTGGATATACCAATCTGGGCTGGCAGTTGTTGGTCCTCAGGGTTCAGATGGTACTTTCCCAGGCTTTCCTTGCATTCAGTGTCTGTGTGGAGAGATCTGCAGTGATTCTAATTTTTTCCCATTGTAGTATAGCTCCTTCTTTGCTTTTGCTGCATGCAAGAATTGCTTCTTCATTGCTAAAATCTAGCATTTTTCACTATAATTTGCCTAGCAGTGTTCCTCCTGGGATCTTGCTTGTTAGGTGTTCTGTAAGCCTCTGTTATGTAGGTAAGATATTCTCTTTTAAGACTGGGGAAGTTTTCAGTGATGATCTTATTGAATAAGTATTGCATTCCTTTATTCTGGTATTCCTCCCCATCGTCCACCCCAATTATATGAAGGTTAAATTCCTTGGCACTGTCTGCTTGTTCTTGGGCTTCCCTTTGGCATGTTTTGAGTGCTTTTTCTATATCTGTAACTTTTTTTTTCCAGTGCCTGCATTTTGTCTTCAGTACCTGATATTCTCTTTTCCCTTTCATTTATTCTATTAACTGTGGCTTCCATTGTGGTTTGCATGGAGGAAATTGAATTTTGCATGTAGGAGATTGAGCCATTTATAATTTCTATGTCATTCCTTAGAGTACTAATCTCATCTTTTAGCAAAGTGTGTACTACATCTAGTTTTGTGTGAAGGCCTGGATCTCTTTTGATAGCTCATTCCTTTGTTCTTTACATTTCTGATCTATTTCTCACTTTGATTCTTGAGTCATTGCCTCTATCATCTCTTGGATGTAGTGTTTGTCTTCCATTTCTTTTTTGCTCCCACTGGGATTCTCCCCTGTGTGGTGGCTGGTTTGAGTCTGGTTTACTGTCTTAGCCATTGATGAATTTTGTAAATTTTCACTGTGATTTTCATGTGTGGATTCAGAGATTGTTGGAGACCAATGTTTTGGTTACTAGGTGGCTACCTTTGCGTGGTTCTGGATTTGTTCCTGGATCAATTGATGTAGCTTGCTCTCAGCACTGGGCTGGTTGAGAGTATTTTACCTGGTCCAAGGTTCTGTTATGGGAGGGGCTGCTGTCCAGCTGCTGGTCTGACTCACTTAGGGCTTACTCCTGTTAGTTTGTGGTGGGCAAATACACTCCACCCTCTTCTGAGATGTGCACTCAGATCCTGATCAGTCAGGGGCAAACAGTTAAGATTGCTAGGGTTCCTGCCTGGGACACAGATAGGGTTCCTTCAACTGCCTACTAGATATCCTAAGCAGTTCCTGCTGTTAGTCAAGGCACAGCAGCCTAGACTGCTTGTGTTCCCTCCCAGGGGTGCTCTTGGTCAGGCCTGGCTTGCTGATGTGCCCAGTGGTTGCTGGTGCACTTGCACAGCTCCCAGCTTCCTTAGGACCTGTAGTGCAGGTGGTGGTGGCCAAGTCAAGTTCTTGGGGTTACCACCAGTGCTGGTCTCCCGTGGTGGGGGGTAGGAGTTAGGTGGAGGGTGTCCCCTGTGGGATACTCACTTATCCTGGTACTGGTTGGGAGCTGTCCAGCGGTGCTGTGGCAGATCGCTGGTTTTGTGTGCTGTAGGTTGCTGGTCAACACCGTGTCCCACGTTCGTTGCTGGGTGGTGGTGTAGGCTGGGTCTGTGTTTCACGGCTTTTACTACTTTTATGCTCTTCTGTTTGGTGTCGCGGCTCTGGCGACAGTCAGACCCGTGCCGGGCTGGACTGTTTCCATGGGCCAGCACAGGGAGGCGCAGGGTGGCGCTGCCAGTCTGGGTCCTTGGGCTGGGTTGCTTACACGGGCCTGTGTAAAGAGGCACCACAGGGTACTGCAAGTCTGGGGCCCCTCACTGCCACCACTGCAGTCACCGCTGCCCCAAGCTGGGTTGGGTTGCTGGGGAGGAGGGGAGAGAAGAGGGGAGGGGAGTGGTGCCAGGGGCAGCTATACTGAAATGTCTAAAGCTGGGTAACTTTACAAAGAAAGAAGTCTATTTATCTCTCAATCCTGGAGGTTCAAAGGGATTGGTACCATTATGTTTTTTCAGTTAACTAGTATTTATTGAGCATGTTTACATGCTGATAGGCACTGCTTTCCTTGAGAATAGAACCTTGATTAAGTCAGATGTGATTTCTGCTCTGATCTGGCACATTTCCATGTAGATTTCATGTGCTATCATAATTATCCTTCCAACAATGGGTAGGCACGAGATTAACACTTGAAATGGGATTTTCTGACACCAAGATGCATTATATTCAAAATTCACATCCAGCACTTTGGGTAGTGTGAGTTACCAAGAATACCAGAGATGGCCAACTATCTGAAGGAAGAGCCAATGAGGGACTTCATAAATGGTCCCTGATCAGGACCATTAGCTCCATGTTGGGGTTATCTCTATGTTCAGAACTCTTTTGAATAGAGGCCTCAACCTGTAAATAATTAGATTGAAATAACGTCTAAGGGCTCAACAACATGAGATAACATTGCTAATAGTTTTGAAGGCAAAAGAAAAAAGTCTTTGCTCCTATTTTACAATAGCTTAAGCACAGTTTTCCTGTGACAGTTTCCTTGTTTGAGCAAATGGTCATTTCAGATGTGTGATTAGTAATGTAGTCAATTCCTTCTTTAAAAAAATATATGTTAGGTGGGTGCTGGTGGCTTGTCTCTATAATCCTAGCTACTTGGGAGGCTGAGATCAAGAAGGATAATAGTAATTAACTTGCCCATATAATTGTAACCCCTCTGTACAGTATGTTCACAATAAAAAGAAAAAAAAGAAGGATAATAGTTCTAGCCAGCCTGAACAAAAAAGTTGTCAAGACTCCCTCTGGATGTGGGACCGTGCACCTGTTATACCAGCTGAAGGAGGCTGAGATCAGAAGAATCATGTTGCCAAGATCTAAGCAGAAGAAGCTGGGCATGGTAGAGCACACCTGTCATCCTTGCCATGGCAAGAAGCCAAAGGATATTTGATTATTTTTCCATAAAAATTGAGTGATAACTTTGTTAAGCATCATATTCTTAGTTAGCAGTTCTTTTCTTTTAGGGCTTGAAATAGATAATTCTATGTTTTCCTAGTATGTAAGGTTCATGATGAGAAGTCTCAGATGTTTCTTCTGTGTGTGCTGGTACTAGGACTTGAACTCAGGGCTCTCACTTGGCTCTTGGATGTTTCAGTCATGGCTAGCACTTTACAACTTGAGCCACACTTCCATGTATGGTTTTTTGCTAATAGTTTGGAAATGCGAGTTTCATGGATTTGTTTGCCAAGGCTGGCTCCACATGGCGATTCTCATATCTCAGTCTCCTGAGTAGTGTGGATTATAGCTGTGAGCCATGGACACCCAGCTTAAAGGTGATTCTTATGTGTTTACCTTTGTGTGTAAGCTGACATTTTTTCTCTTGTAGCTTTCAGTATCCTTTCTTTTGAGTGTGATGTGGAATTATTTTCTGATAATGTCTATTTGAAGCTCCAAATATCTGTTGTACATGGGTGTCTGTATCATTAGCAAGATTTGGGAAATTTTCTGATGCAATTTCATTAAATAAGTTTCCTGTGCCTTTAGTTTATATTTCAGCTTCTTCTCCAATCGTGTGGTTCTTAGATTTGGTCTTTTGATTGTGCCTCAAAGTTCTTATAGGTTGTAGTCATAGTTTCTCATTTTTTGTTTGTTATTGTCTGGAGGACAATAGTTCCTCATCTTATCCTTTATCTCTAATATTTTTTTGCTTGATCTTTTCTGATAATATTATCATTGTGGTTTTTGTTTGATTCACTGATCTTTTCATTTTTAACATTTCTGCTTGGTTCTCCTAACAAATGACCATTTCTTTATTGGTTTTCTCATTAATATTACTGACTTTCTTGTTTAGGCCTTTAATTGATTTCCTGACTCCATTTATCTGTTTGTTTGAGTTTTCTTTGAGGTCAATGATCATTTTTAAAAGTAAACTTTTGCCAGGCACCAGTGGCTCATGCCTGTAATCCTAACTACTCAAGAAGCTGAGATTGAGGATTTTGGTTCAGAGACTGCTCAGGAAAGTCCATGAGATTCTTATCTCCAATTAAACATCAAAAAGCCAGAAATGAAGCTGTGGCTCAAGTGGCAAAGTGCTAGACTTGAGCAAAATCATTCAGTGACAGCACCTAGGCTCTGAGTTCAAGCCCCAAGACTGGAAAACACACAGACAAAAGTAAACTTTTGAATTCTTCTGCCCTTTAGCCAATCCATTATCTTTAGACTCAGTTATTGAGTTGGTGAGGTTTGGGGAGACATAATATTGCCTTGCTTCTTCATATGGATTGTGATTTTCACACTGTTGGGGTGAGTTTCCTTTTTATTTTCTCACAGATAAGAGAGCTGACAGCAATAAAAACTTCAGCAGGTGAACAATAACCCAAACACTTAAATGAAGTAAAAAGTGAGTAGATGCCTCAGGTTCCTCCCCAGTAAGGCCACAGAGGGTTAGAATTCAATTCTTTTTTTTTTTATTGTGAAAATGCCGTACAGAGGGGTTACAATTACATGGGCAAGATAATGAGTACATTTCTTATCAAGCATTGTAGCCTTGTCCTTTGTTTTCCCTTCCCATCCCTTCCCATCCTTCCCCTGCCCCCCACCCAATCCTTCCCCCACTTCCTCCCCCCCAGAATTAAATTCTTAAGGGACAAACTAGTAGTTGAACAATAGTTTAAAGTATTAAAATTTTAGTATTATAAGAAATGGTAATGAGGAAGCTATGGAGAGAAAGGAGGTATAGGAAATAATTATGAGAGAGCACTCTGTTATTATTATAGAGAAATAAAGAATGTATGGGGAAGTAAAAAGAAAACCCACAACAAACTCATAAGCCAAAAACAAACAGCAAAAAAAAAAAAAACAAGCCAGGCTAAGAAGAAGTATGGATAAAAGTTGGGCCTGTGCAAGTGTCTGACATTCTCCTCCAGTCTTTGGTCCTCAGAGACTTGTTTGGTACTATTGTTCTCTGGTACTGTTTTTCTCTAAACAGCAGCATGGGTGGGTTGTGAGTCTTATAGCAACAGCCATAAGAGAAGGGTGTTTTTGTTTGTTTTGTATTGTTGTTCTTTCTTTTCTTTTCTTTTTTTTCTTTTGTGCCAGTCTTAGACATAGGCCCTTGAACTCAGGACCTGGATGCTGTCCCTGAGATTTTTTTTTTTTCTCAAAGCTAGCATTTTGCTACTTGAGCCCAACCTCCACTCCATTTCTGGCTTTTTTGCTGGCTAATTGGAGATAGGTATCTCACAGACTTTTCTGCATAGGCTGGCTTTGAGCCATGATACTCAGATCTCAGTCTCCTGAATAACTAAGATTACAGACATAACCCACAAGCACTTGGCAGAGTTGATGTTTTCCTTTTTAAGGACTTTGCGCTTTTAGGAATATTCACATTTTATAGCCTATAGCTGTGGAGAGCTGCAGGAGCCGCGACCAAATAAAATGGCCGGGCCGCGTGGTGTGGCTCCGACCTAAGATGGCGCAGGCTCCCGCCTTCCGTCTTCCCCGTGTCGAGTGCTCTCTGTAAAAAACAACTCCTTATATGGCTATGACTTGGCTCCTAGTTTGCTTCTGTGTTTGCAGACCTATCAGTATATGCCACGTGGCGCTTCAGGATTGGCCATCCAGGAGGCTTATAAACGGGGCGAGGGGGCGGATGGGAAGGAGAAGCAGGAGAAACAGGATGAAGCAGGAAGAAGCGGGCAGGAGAGAAGTAGGAGTAAAGAAGCTGTAAACAAGGTCCTGAATAAACCGCCTGAGAGAAGAACCTGTTGTCGCGTCATCCTTGCGGGTCGAGGCGGTCGCGACATATAGCATTTTGGAGGTATTTTTCTATGCAGTGTCCCTATATTGAAGAATTAGAAAAATAACTTACAAAAATTATTTTAAAAGATACATAACTGCTAAATTCCAGGAGCCACAGACAGGGAAGAATGAACATTTATATCTTCATCCTATTTTGTGTTGCAGTTATAAGATGCCTGATATTGATACTGAATAATTTATAAAGAATAGAGGTTTCTTTTGTCTTATGCTTTGGAGGATGGGGAAGTCCAAGAGCATGGCATAAACAAAGGGCTTATGCTGCTTCGATTCATGGTGGAAAATGCAAAGGCCAGCTGGTGCACATGATGGAAAATGACTTTAACTGAGAGCACTCACCTTTCTCCTGACAGCCATATCTTAGCACTGTCCTTGCTGCTGAGTCATCTCCCCTCCCCTTCCCCCTGAACAAATGTACCCTGCCATCTTGGAAGAGAGCCTGAGACCAAGGCCACATCTAGTACTGATCCGCTGGTGGACACAGATGCTGGTGGGACCTTGGAACTCCTCAGTCAAAGCAATGTTGCTCACCCATCCCGCCTTCACCTCACCTAACTTCCATCTGCCCCCCTGATTTCACTTTTTCTGCCTAGTATTTAAAGGGACCCTACTTATAAGGCAAGGGGATGTGTGTCATTTCCCCTTCAGCCAGGTTGAAGGAGACTTGGTTGCCTTTCCTAAGCTTTCCTTCCAAGTAAAACCTGTTGGACTGTTGAGATTGCCTTTCTGCTCTTTTCCCTCTTCTTTCAGCATGTGGAAGAGAAAACAACGCCAAGGGGAGCAACCTGGCTTTATAACAATCTGCTGTTGTAACAACTAATTCAGTCCTCAGGGACAGTGAGAGTCCACTTGTGTGAAAAAAGCATTCATAAGCCCCCCGTGTCTCTGACTTGAACACCCGTCAAAATTGCTAATTGCATTAGCAATGAAACTCAGTGTGAGGTGTTTTATTTTTCTGTTTTGTTTTCATGGATTGAGAGAACAAACCACATTTAATCCACAGCATCTTAACTTTATAGGACTAAACCTTCCCTAGTTAGAGACACAGATATTATTCATCAGCACACAGCAGATTTGGTACTTCTTAGAGATTTTAAGGTGAGTGGGCCATAAGGAAATACCTAACATATTATAACGGGAAGAGACACTAATGTGCACGCAACTGTAGTGTATGTGTACTAACTCAACATACTAACAATCATGCTTTCAGTTCTGCAAGCTGAAAAGGCATTTTCTTTCTTTCTCCTTGTCCAGTCTCCCTCCCCACCCCTTTCCTCTATGTGAGGGAACCCAAGAATGTCTGGACAAGGTCACCAGACTCCCCTCCTTATCTGGCTGACCATGGAGTTGCATATGAGACAGCAAGAGATTGATGCCAGCACATCTGGAAATGATCAGATTCAAGGCTACCATCTGGTTACCCAAATCACACCTCAATATGTACATCTAGAAGCACAAACTTTAGGGATGTTTCCTTAAAAACTTACCCGCCCCTCCCCACCCTTGAGAAAACAGTGTATAGTTTGAATATTGTCTTGAAAAATTATTCTATCTTTGCTCCCTTTTTCTTCAAAATCATGCTGTCTTTATGAATTGGTATTGAGTTCAGAGGACCAAAATTTCCCATAAAAATATGAAGAATTGCTATACATAAGCGACTAATGAATTGAGAGAAAGTGACAGCTGTATCTGAAAGCCTGTAGTGCCAACACACTTTGCAAAGTAATTACTTGTAGTCTGGTGTATGTCTTGTAAAAAGTTATATTTTAGAACTCAAAAACTTTAGAGGAAAGAGTTTTTCTTTTTCTTTTCTTTTTCTTTCTTTCTTTCTTTTTTTTTTTTAACAATCTTCTGGATAATTCAAACCTTTGAATACTAATCCTGAAGTCCAGTCTTTTGTTTAAAAAGCCCGCCCCCCACATCTCTTGAGGTCTCATAAAGGCCCTAGAGTTTTCTCCTATGTGTGGTTTTAAAAATACTTTTATTATTTTGGCAGTTGATAGAGCATGTAAGGAAGTAGACCAGGAATGACAAAAGGTAATATTTCTCAAGCATGTAACAAAGGAAGCTGAAAATGAGTGAGCCAAGAAAAGAGTATATCTATTATTATGAAATTTAAGAAAAATAGAAGACGATAAGTCAACAAAAGGAAAATATATCTTGGTACCAGGAATTTGGTCCCTTGAACTCAAAGCTAATTCATAATGAGATCAGGGTTTTGGAGAAAAGGAAGTGAAGATTTATTAGTTTTGCCAGGCAAAATGAACACAACCTTTCACATGGGGAAAAGAACATTTGATTATTTCACTTTAACAGAAGGAGAAACCACAACTTCCCAGGTGTAAGGATCAATGTTTCTCCATTAAGATGCATTGTACTTATAAGCTGATTTGTTGAATGATAACTTTTTTTTAAACTGCTTACAGACAATAAAGAAAGGTAATTTTACAAAAAGAATCTATGTTTAGAGTAGAGAGACCACCATGGTTCCTTCTTTTTGCTTTACAGTCTTGTGTGTAGAGTCAGGGAAGCCATTTTTGCAGATATTTAATGCATGATACCTAAAGATGAGGTCTCTGAGTGGCTTGTGCTTCCTCTTTTCTTTGTAGGTCATGGAGTTTGAACTCAGGGCCTGGGTGCTGTCCCGCAGCTCTTTTGCTTTGAGCCACTTCTTTCTTTCTTTCTTTCTTTCTTTCTTTCTTTCTTTCTTTCTTTCTTTCTTTCTTTCTTTCCTTCCTTCCTTCCTTCCTTCCTTCCTTCCTTCCTTCCTTTCTTCCTTCCTTCCTTCCTTCCTTCCTTCCTTCCTTCCTTCCTTTTCCTTCATTTTTTCTTTTTCTTTTTAACCTGTCCTGGGGCTTGAAATCAAGGCCTGGGCACTGTTGTCAGTGAGAGTTTTTTGTTTTTGTTTTTTGCTCCAGTTTAGCGCTCTACCACTTGAGCCACAGCGCCACTTTTTTCTAAGTAGTTTATTCGAGTTAAGAGGCTCACAGGGCCTTTCCTGCCTATTCTGGCTTCTAACAGCGACCCTCAAATCTCAGCCTCCTGAGTAGCTGGGATTACAGATGTGAGCCACTGCAGGCCAGCTCATTTCCAGTTTTTTGATGGTTAATTAGAGTTAAGAGTCTTACAGCCTTTCCTGCCTGGTCTAGCTTGGAACCACAATCCTCAGATCTCAGCCTCCCAAGTAACTAGTATTACAGGTGTGAGCCCCTGGCACACGACTCCACCTTTCCTTTATATAGACAATGTGTGGTTTGTTTTTGGAGAGTTGGAAGCAGTTCCTCTCATCATAGGGAAATGTGGGTAGATGGTATTCAGGACCATGAGTAAGTATGTGTCCAGAACAAAATCCTGGAGATCATACAGGTGATATCAGGAAGGCGCAGGCCTTAAAGGTTTGGGGTAGTTGAGATCTAGGAGGAGGAGACACTCAGAAGGTTATGAAAATTAAAAATAAGCCTTCCATCCTCCACACCCCAAAATAAAAACTGGGCCTGTGACTCATGCCTGCAATCCTAATTACTTGGGAGGCTGAGATCTAAGGAACTTGGTTCAAAGCCAGCCAGAGCAGAAAAGTCTATGAGGTTTTTTTTGGGGGGGGGTCTGGTCATGGGGCCTGAACTCTGGGCCTGGGCACTGTCCCTCAGCTCTTCAGCTCAAGGCTAGCGCTCTACCACTTGAGCCACAGCACCACTTCTGGCTTTTTTCTTTTTGCTTATTTGGTGCTGAGGAATCAAACCCAGGGCCTCAGGCATGCAAGGCAAACGCTCCACCACTGAGCCACCTTCCCAGCCCCGTATGAGATTCTTATCTCCCATTAACCATTAAAAGTTTAGCCAGAGCAATAAGGCAAGAAAAAGACATTAAAGGGATCCACTTAGGGAAGGAAGAAATAATGACATGATATTATAGCTTAACAACCCTCAAAACTCCACTCTCAAAATTCTAGAACTTATAAACCACTTTGGCAAAGTATCAGGATGCAAAATTAACATACAAAAATCAGTTGCCTTTCTATACACCAACACTGTACAAACAGAAAGGGAAATCAAGGAAACAACCCCATTCACAATAACCTCAAAAAATATCTAGGAATTAACCTAACCAAAGATGTAAAGGACTTATTTAGTGAAAACTATAAAAGCCTAAAATAAGAAATCAAAGAGGATACCAGGAAATGGAAAGACCTTCCATGTTCTTGGATAGGCAGAATCAGTATTGTGAAAATGGCCATACTGCCAAAAATGATACAAAAATTCAATACAATTCCCACCAAAACCCCAATGATGTTATTTACTGAAATAAGGAAAACAATCCAAAAATTCATATGGAACAACAAAGCCAAAGCAATTCTAGGCAAAACAAACAACACAGGAAGGATCATGATACCAGACTTCAAGCTCTATTATAGAGCCATAATAACAAAAACAGCCTGTACTGGCAAAAAACAAACCCGAGGACCAACGGAATAGATTAGAAGATCCAGAAATAAAATCACCTGCCTATAGTCAACTGATATTTGGCAAAGGAGCCAAAAACATACAGTGGAAGAAACACGGCCTCTTCAACTATTGGTGCTGGGAAAGCTGGGTGGCCACATGCAGAAAACTAAAACTGGACCCCAGTCTGTCACCATGCACTAACATCAACTCAAAATGGATTAAAAGACTTTAACATCAAACCTGAAACTCTGAAACTACTGCAGGACAGAGTAGGAGAGACACTTGAACTTATAGGCACAGGCAGGAACTTCCTGAACAGAGTCCCAGGATCACAACAAATTGGAGAAAGACTGGACAAATGGGACTACCTTAAAATAAAAAGTTCTGCACAGCTAAAGACATAGCTATCGAGCTAGAAAGACAACCAACCAATTGGGAAAAGATATTTACCAGCAATATATCAGACAAAGGCCTAATATCCCTTATATACAACATAGTCAAGAAACTAATTCCTCCCAAGCCGAACAAACCAATCATTAAATGGGCAAGGGAACTAAAGAGAGACTTCCCAGAAGAAGAGATAAAAATGGCATAGAAACACATGAGGAAATGTTCAGCATCCCTGACCATAAAGGAAATGTAAATAGAAATAACCCTGATACTGCCAGTCAGAATGGTCCACATCCTAGTCAGCCGACAACAAATGCTGGAGGGGATGCAGAGAAAGAGGAACCCTATTGCACTGCTGATGAGAATGTACACTAATACAACCCCTCTGGAAAGCAGTCTGGAGCTAAAGCTAAATATAGAACTCCTCTATGACTTGGAAAAAATTATATTAAGTGAAGTAAGCCAGGCCCAAAGAAACATAGGTCCCATGGTTTCCCTTATTTGCAATAATTAGTATATGTCTGAGACAAGCAGAAAAGGTCAGATAAGTTGATGTTAAGGGAATGAACCCCAAGATAAGTATTCAAATGTTTTTTATGCAATTGTTTCTAACATATAAGATGATTTCTATATTGCTTTGTATGTCCCTCCCCCACGGTATAACCCCTGCTTTCACTGTATTTGAGGTTGGTATAATTTGTGGAGGGGAAGGGCAAAAACAAATCGTTTAACTAGGGATACAGGTGGACCCACTGCAACAATGAGATGTACAAGTCCTTATGTCGAAAAATGAACTTTACAACTTTGATGGGGGGGGGAGAATCGGGTGGGGGGATGAGGGGGGAGTATGGGAAGGGATGGGAAGGGGAAACAAAGAGGAGGCAACAATGCTTGATAAGAAATGTACCCATAACCACTTTGGAAAGCAGTATGGAGGTTCCTCAAAAGACTCTACATAGAGCTCCCTTATGACCCAGCAATCCCACTTTTGGGCATTTACCTAAATGTTCACAAACAAGACCACACTAAAGCTACCAGCATGACTATGTTTATTGCAGCATTATTTACTATAGCTAAGATATGGAACCAACCCAGATGCCCCTCAGTAGATGAATGGATCAAGAAAATGTGGTATATACACACAATGTAATTCTATGCCTCCATCAGAAAGAATGACATTGCCCCATTTGTTAGGAAATGGAAAGACTTGGAAAGAATTACATTAAGTGAAGTAAGCCAGACCCAAAGAAACATAGGTCCCATGGTTTCCCTTATTTGCAATAACTAGTATATGTCTGAGTCAAGCAGAAAAGGTCAGATAAGGTGATTTTAGGGAAATGAACCCTAAGATATGTATTCAAGTGTTTTTTTTCTTTCATGCAATTGTTTCTAACACACTTATAAGATTATTTCTTTGTTGCTTTGTATGTCCCTCCCCCACAGTATAACCCCTGCTTTCACTGTATTTGAGGTTGGTATAATTTGTGTAGGGGAAGGGCAAAAACAAATCGTTTAAATAGGGATACAGGTGGACCCATTACAACAATGAGATGTACAAGTCATTATGTTGAAAATGAACTTTACAACTTTAGTTTGGGGGGAGGGGGGAAGAGGATTGGGTGGGGGGGCGGGGGAGGATGGGAAGGAGAAACAAAGGAGGAGGCTACAATGCTTGATAAGAAATGTACTTATTATCTTGCCCATGTAATTGTAACCCCTCTATACAGAATTTTCACAATAAAAAGAGAAATGTACTCGTTATCTTGCTCATGTAATTGTAACTCCTCTGTACGGTATTCTCACAATAAAAAAAGAAAAGAAGAAAAGAAAAGAACTCCTCTATAACCCAGCCATACCACTCCTGGGCATCTACCCTGAGCAACAGGAACCAGGCTACAAGGACACATGTGCTTCCATATTCATTGCTGCACTGTTCACAATAGTCAAGATATGGAAACAATCTAGATGCCCCATTACAGATGAATGGATCCAAAAATTGTGGTACCTATATATATTATGCAGCCATTAGAAAGGACAAAATAGCCGGGCACCGGTGGCTCACATCTATAATCCTAGCTAGTCAGGAGGCTGAGATCTGAGGATCACAGTTCAAAGTCAGCCTGGGCAGAAAAGTCCATGAGACTCTCATCTCCAATAAATCAGTAGAAAACCAGAAGTGGCGCTGTGGCTCAAGCGGTAAAGTGCTCACCTTAAGCTGAAGAGGGCAGGGACAGCGCCCAAGCCCAAAGTTCAAGCCCCACAACAGACCAAAAAAAAAAAAAAGACAAAATATTTGCAGGGAAATGTATAGAACTAGAACAAATCATGTTGAACCAGGTCAGCCAAGACCAGAGAAACAAAAGGTACACGATCTCACTGATATATCAATGTTAAATCCAAAATGCAAGGAAATATGACAAAATAGAAACAAAGGACCTCCTCTTAATTTGTCGCATCATTTCTAAATGACTCCATGTTCTTGACTTCATATATGGTTTATACAGGTGCACATCTGAGGGAAGCAAGGAGGAGGGCACAGAATCAGAGGGAAACGGGAAAAATACAATAGAGGGCCCATCAGCTGCACTGGACATTGATAAAAATGAACTAAAAAACCCAAGGGCAGCAATGGGAGGGAGGGAGGGAAGGAGAGGGATAGAGGGAACCTCTTACAAAAGGAAAGAAATGTACATATCCCCAGGTTTGGAAGAAATAGTTGTCAAAGCTGATAGAATTCACAAACTTTATACACCATGACAATGACAATTTGCCTTTTGTGAGGGTTAACATGTGTTTCTGACTTTATGTATCACTATCCCACAATACTGTGAAATTAGTGAAATTTATGTAATCACTTAATCTCAATAAAAATCATTTTTAAAAAATTAGGGAAGGGGTAACAAGTTGGACGAGAAATGCACTGATTACCTTAAGTAACTGTAACTCCTCTATCCATCACCTCCACAATAAATAAATTTTTAAAAAAAGCTGGAAGTGGAGGCATAGCTCAAGTGTCAGAGTACCAGCCTTGAGTGAAAAGGTTCAGGGACAGCTCCTAGGCTGAGTTCAAGCCCTAGTAATGCCACACACACACACAGCCCCCCCCCCCCTCTTGAGCGGGATGGGCCAGTCCCGGAATTGGGATCTGAAAGTCCTCCACCCCCACCCCACCCCAGCCCCCCACGCCTGCCTTTGTGACGCGGCCGCCAGCCTCAGCGGATTGTGCGTTGGGCAGATGAAATTCAAAGCCCCGCTCAGAGCTGATTCAAAATAGCCGGTGGCCCCGCACAGGGGGAAAGCGGGGCCATGGCGGAAGCAGCCGAGCCCAGTGGCGAACCCCAACGTGCCGACAGTAAAACCCAGCATTCTGCGGAGAAATTTCTGGGGAGCCTCCCCAGACGCGACCCACGCTCGGTGCTCAGGGTATCTCAGCTGCTGCTCAGGGCCATCGGCGAGCACAAGGGCCTGACCCTGGCGGTGCTCAAGAGGGAGCTGGGAAACGCGGGCTACCTGGTGCGCAAGAAGCCCGGCCGCTCCTCGGGGGACTGGGGCAAGCCCGAGGTCAGGGGCACGCTCCTGCGGGTCAGCGGCAGCGAGGCCGCCGGCTACTTCAAGGTCTGTAAGATCCCCAAGGGCAGGAAAAAGTCCAGCCGGCCCAAGCAGGAGGAGGCCAACCGCTGGAGGAGGATCCGACCCGAGGCCCTGCCCCGGAGGAGGCACACGCATCGCCAGGCAGCCAAGAAAGCCAGGGAGGTCTGGAGATGCAACTCGAAGGTCACCGTGAAGACCAGGCGGGTCAAGGCCAAGGCCAGGGGGTCGGTGCGCGTCCGGGCCAAGGAGGAAGTCAGAGCCAAGGTGATGGATGAGAGCAGAGGACGGGCTTCGAAGGAAGATACCGGGCCTGAAAGGAGGCTGAGCGCCAAGGTCAGGGAGGAGAGGAAGCCGGAACCTGAGAAGCCGGGGAAGAAGCCCATCCAGAAGTCCTCGGCGGTGAAAAGTGACTGCAGTGGCCCCGGACAGGGCAAGGTGCGCAGCAAATCCTCCGTGAAGTCTGACAGTCCACGGAACGCAGCTGAGAACCCATAGTCCCCCCCGGGGATCGACCCCGTGGGCCCCAACACTGCGGCTCTCGTCTGATTAAAGCTATTTACCAGACCATTCTACCTGGTGTGGTCTGTCTCCTTTGAGCGTTCATGGAAAAGGGCGAGTGGGTGGGGGGCGCTGGGGCCTGGAGAAAGAGCAGTCTGTAATGGCATGTGAAGTGAAGAGGGAAAAAAGGAGGAGCATTGTCTTCCTGCTCCAGGACCCAGAGAACTGCCTTGCCGGAGGGGGGATGGGGGAACGGGTAGAAGAAAGCCACCAACTTTAACAGAGTTAGACAGACGTCGAATTCAAGAACTCAGAGGGTTGTCAGGAGACAGATAGTTTTTATTTTTTTCTCTTTTGCCTGCTTTGGGGCTTGAACTCAGGGCCTGGGCAACTCTCCTAATTTGGTTTTTCTACTCCAGGATGATACTTGAGCAACATCTCCACTCTTATCTCCAATTAACCAGTTAATTAACCTGGTTAATTGGAGATAAGAGTCTCATAAACTTTTCTGCCTGGGCTGACAGATGAGCCACAATCCTCAGATCTCAGCCTCTTGAGTAGCTAAGGTTACAAACAAGCGTGAACCACTGGCGCCTGGCTAGATAGAGCTTTTGAGTGTCTCCCTGTTCTAATGTGTTCTTCCCTAAAATTCCTTTTAGGAGAAAGTTCCTTCTTCAATTTATTATACCCTTTGTAGTTGTTGCCCTGAATTTGTTAAAATACATCTTACAAAGGACTCTTCAATTAATTTTGGAAAGCATCTAGCACAGGGCTTGATCTTCATCATAGAGAAATAATTTCTAAGAGGGTGGTCATGTACTAGAGTAGAAAACTACACACTCTAAGGAGACCAAGAGTCTAGTCAATGTTCTATTACAAAGACTTTAAATTCATTCAAACTCTTAGATTCTTTGTAAACTATTGGAGTTGTGCTAGGATAAATTGAGATGATGTTAAATGTCTGTAAATATTAAGAATCCTTAAATATCACGGTGACCAGTTGCTGGTGGTTCATAACTTTACATCCAGAAAGGAAGGCCCATTAATACTGATTTCCAATTACCCACCAAAGAGTAGAAAGTAGAACTATGGCTCAAGTGGCAGAGTGCCAGCTTTGAAAAAATGCTAGAGGGACAGCACTCAATTTAAGCTCCAAGATTGTCATACACACATAAAATCATGATGAATGCTTTGCTGGACAAAATTCAACAAAGGAATGATCAATTGGAGTGCTAATCCCTAGACAGGAAGCTACAAAGATTTACAGAATGTTAGAAAAGCAGACAATAAGGCTGGGACGGTGGCTCAGTGGTAGAGCGCTTGCCTTGCATGCCTGAGATCAATTCCTCAGCACCACATAAGCAAAAAGAAAAAAGCCGGCAGTGGCACTATGGCTCAAGTGGTAGAGCGCTAGCCTTGAGCTGAAGAGCTGAGGGACAGCGCCCAGGCCCAGAGTTCAGGCCCCACGACCGGACCCAAAAAAAAAAAAAAAAAGCAGACAATAGCAATGACCAGATAATGACTACATAGGCCTTTTGTTTTTCTGAAACTATAATATATTGAGGACTAAGTATGACTTTGTTTTGAATGTATGATTTAAGAGCAGCTTGAAGGTAATTATGTGACACAACACAGCAGTTCCTAGAGAAGTTAAAACATCAAAGTAGCTGATTTGTGGGGAAAAGTGAAACCAAAGGAGTATAGGGAAAGGAATACTGGAAAGTGCTTTTATTCTTGAGAGAAAGTGGCAGTGGACATGGGAATGTATTCACACATCCTGGGAACTTTTTCCTGATGTATGTATTTGGATGTACTTCAAATAAACCCAGATCTTAGTTATGCTACTATTTCTCCTCTCATACCCTGAGACTCGTTGCCTTAAGCCTATGCAAAGCCAAGTAATAGCAAAATACTTTCAATGTATCCCATCTAGAGATGATCTGAACTTTGGGATTTTCCCAGGCTTTAAGTTTACCCTGTTTTTGTTTGTTTTTTTGTCGGTCGTGGGGCTTGAACTCTGGGCTTGGGTGCTGTCCCTGTGCTCTTCAGCTCAAGGCGAGCACTCTACTGCTTGAGCCACAAACACTTCCAGTTTTCTAGTGGTTTATTGGAGATAAGAGTCTCACAGACTTTCCTGCCTGAACTGGCTTTGAACCGCGATCCTCAGATCTCAGCCTCCTGAGTAGCTAGGATTACAGGTGTGAGCCACCAGCACCCGGCTTACCCTGTATTTAAAGTGGTAAAAGGAAGCCAACAGAACCAGAGAATCATCAGAAACTATCTGAAAAGAAACAAAAAAATCAATTTGTCTCAAAATTTTCAAACAAAGTTAATCAAATGTCCTGATAAGAACCATATCGATTTTGCAGACCTAGGATGTTTTAACCCAAAGAACAAGGTGGTCTAGAAGGTAATCTGTAACCATTTCTCAGGCCCATTCCCAGCTAGCTTTGATGAGAAGAATGTAAGCCTTTGCCACCAAACGGACAGCTTCCTTTCAGTAGGGACCTTTCACTGATGGTTAGAGTACTTTCTAGATTCCTTGTATTACTTTATCACTTTGGTGACCAATTGCAAAACATGGTGAGCTTGACTCCTTAGCAACCAGGAGAAGGAACAACTCCTTGGGTTGGAATAAAAATCCATTAGACCACCCTGTCCAGTGTGCCTGCCTAGATCTGGGGAGAGAATGGCAGACCACCCTTCTGTACAGAAGCAAAATGGCTTGATGAAATCTCCCGTATCTCGTGTGTCTATTCACTTTCTGACACCAGAGGGCTGACTGTGTCTTCCAACATTTACAAGTCAGTTGGTAGGAGCAGCAGTGCTGTGTAACTGGTGGGCTTTACCCCAAAATGCCCTGGAAGAGGGGTGCAAGCATGCAGCGACCAAGTCCTACACCATGGCAGTTGAGCGATGGCCAGGGAATTCTCACAGAATAGTGATTGTGGTCACACTGGATGTGCCAGTGGCTGGCACGCAGTAGGCACCAAAAACACTGCTTGTAGAATTGGGGCCATTTGCTTCTCAGGAGCCACAAGGGTAGGAAGCAAGTAAACTAAATGGAAGAAAGTACAAAATGACTTTAAAAGAGACACCAATAGTAGGAGGAAAAGGAGGCCATAACAATGCACAACAAGAAATGTACTCATTACATTACTGATGTAACTGTGACCTCTCTGTAGAGCATCTTTACAAGAAAATAATTTTTTTTTAAAAAAGCAACACCCAGGGAAAAAGAGCCTTTAGGGAACAGAAAAAGAAAATAGGTCTGGCACTAGGGTAAGGATATACTATGTGTGGGAGGGAGTAGAAGAGCGAGAGAAAGAGAGAGGGAGGAAGGAGACAGCTGAAGCACTACAGCCAAGCTAAGAATGTGGGGAAAAGCAGTGGGAAATGACCCAAGATGAGTAGGCTTAAAGCTGATAGAAGATAGGAGGGAGAGGGAATAGGTGCTGAGTGGACTCATGATAGAATGGACATAGCCAGAAGCTGGAAAAGAGAATCTAGGATTATAGAACATAAGGAGATACAGAGAACAAACGCCCCTGGGAAGAACCAGTATTGCTCAGGCAAAATAACAAAAATCAAGCAAAAAAAAAAACCCCAGAAAACAACAAGAAGAAAAAAACACAAAAAGACTTGGAGATATGACAAGGAAAAACGGAGGAAGAGCGCTGCCCATTGGAAAATGGAACTTGTAGGAGAGAGAGAGAGCCTGAGGCCTGGAGCTGCACTCTACAGCTCAATAGAGCTATCCCAGCCTCTGTGGGCTTGTTTGCAATTGTCCCTTTAGTCTGTCCATGGGTGTACCTGGAAGAGGAACTGGAGGAGGCTGACCCAGGGCCTCAAGACAGTTCCTTTTTCCCAGCCTCCACTGGATAGAATCTTCAAAGCAGAATGCACTTTTTTTTGCACTATGGCTTAATTGGTTACCTCTACCTAGTAAACAGAGTATGGTTTGATTTGCCCTTGTGTCATGTTCTACTGGACAAGCCTTGGGATCTCTGATGTTCCTTCTGCTCTTGCCTATAGCACACAGGAAATTGTCAGATCCCTCACATGGCCCCTAATCTACTTATGAATTCAGAAAATCTTGTTTGTTAAGGGCTTGACACAAAAGGCCTTTACTTACTGTCTGCCATTGAGCTGAATACTCACTCCATCTGTCTCCAGGACATTTTAGACACATAGGAAAAGCACCAGATAACTATCAAAAGATGGACATTTCCTTGAATAGATTTTACATTCTTTGAGTTGTCTGCATCTGTGTATTCAGGTTTCTGGACATGTGTCCTCCGTGTTCATATGCAGAGCTCCAGCCCAGCCAATCATAAAAGTGGTCATTGCTGAAATTGGGAACTAACTCCAGTTCTTTCATGACCTAACATGAATAGAATGGAGCACTAGCCTGGAAAGACTGAGAGCAGGAGTGTGGAGATCCATCTGAAGAGTGTGATATATGCCACTGTTTGAAATGAAATTCAACCCCGCCCCCAGCCAAAGGTTCACTAATTTGTCCCATTTCTGGAGCATAATAGTGCTTCTAGGTCTCTAAGAATCACATTTTGAGTACCACATCTGATATAGCACACAAGGGGTTAGAAGGAAGTTTTGCTAGCTTCCACTGAGGAACCTATGGGAATAGAGTTCACTTTTTGGTTATTGGAGAGCTCCACTGATCTCTTCTGGGAACCCATCTGAACACAGGTTGAACAAAACTGTCTTTAGTCCTTCTGGGTCTGAGTCTTTTGCACTTGATGAAACAGGAAAATGTGGTTTGATTGCAGAAGTGTTGGGAAGGACGGAGCTTTGTCTCAAACTATTCCCTCTTTATCCCATGAGGTCACATTTAACAAGGGAAAAAGCAAGGCTTAAGATGTAAATAGCCTCGGTGAGAGCTAATACTTTGTGTTACATTCTTCTATTCTATGCAAGAGACTGTATGTTAGAGTTTCTTTTGTATGTCTCCACAAATAGAAAAGCATAGTAGATTCCTAAACTTAGGATTCCCTTTTGATATTTTGTCTAGAGAAAACATGGAGATGCTTTTTATTTAAAGAGGAAAGGGTGTTCATCAAAGTAAAGGGAGTTGAGTAGAAGATGAAAATTTCAGGTAGAATCCACGTGGGATCATTGAAATTTATTCATATACATCTGATGGCTGTTGCTTCTTTTATTATTTGTTCAAGGGAGGTGGTGTTGGACCGAGGTAGAGAAGACAGTAGTACACAAGAAATGACTCAAAGGCTCACCCCTTCCACAGAAGGCCCTTAGACTCCAGGATGCCTTTCAGCTGGGTTCTGTAACTGTACCAATACTTTGAGGCTTCACTTTCTATTTATACAATCACCAAGTCAGAGTAAATCTGGGAGGCTAACATGTAGTTATGTGAGAGGTATAATCCAATAGTATAGAATATCATTTCCCACAAGTCCCTAGTTTATGAGGAGCTGGGTTTGTCAGCATCTCAGATCTTTCTTTAAAACTGAAGAGTAGAATGTAAGCAATGTCTTCTAGTCATTAGAGATCAGACTCTGTCTTCATATTTTGTTCATCTGGCAGATTCATCCGTAAATATTTAGTGACCTTTGCCTTGTAATTTTGACACAGATATACAATAACCATACCGAGTCAGGGCTAATTCCATTCTTTGACCCTCAGTTCAATGATTCCATGAATGGGCTCTAAACTTGCTACATGTGTATGCAAAACTGAGTGAACTGCATCATCTGCTTTTCAAAATTAGGCTTCTGGTCAGCCACCAGTGGCTCATGCCTATAATCCTAGCTAGTCAGGAGGCTTGAGATCTGAGGATCAAGTTTCAAAGCCAGTGTAGGCAGGGAAGTCTGTGAGACTAGTATCTCCAATTAATCTCCAAAAAGCCAGAAGTGGCACTAAGGCCCTGGTGATAGAACACCAGCCTTGAGTGAAAAAGTCAAGTAAGAGTCCAAGGCTCTGAGTTCAAGGCCCATTAACAGGAAAAAAAGACAGTGGGTTTCAAGTTTCTTTCATATTTGCAAATGGGACTGTGACCCAAAACATTGTTATACATAGCCTAATACAGAGCTGATCTGTATTAAGGCAGGATAATAAAACAAAGGGTATAATGCTGTTTTCAGTTTTAACACTGAAATCCAATATTTACTTCTTCCCATAGACATCTCATAATACTGATCCTAAAACACTGTCTCTGGAACCTAGGGTAAAGTCAGCTTGCAAAGGGCTGGCCAGAGAAACACATCCCAGGCCAAGTGCATTGCAGGCTGCTCTCCATAGCTGGAGGGAGGTAGGAGCTGGAGTGCTAGAAGAAAGAAGCACAGTTAGCAACATGAACACATTTTCTACTCCATTTGAGCCCAGAATTCTGAGAAGCTGTGATTCACCCAGTTATTCCTGAGTATATGAAACAGTCAATAAAGGAGATTCATGCAATTCACTTCCTCTTGCATTTCTGGCTAATTCCTTCAATTGCGTTTGCGACATAAGTGTCTTAGGGAAAAAACAAGAACCTAAAGAGAAAACATTCCACTTTTATCCTCTTTGCTTCTCTTATTCCCTAGCCCCAAACTGTTCTTCTATACAAGATGGATTTTAAATCCTAGGATTTAAAATCATCAATAAATAGAAATAATAATCTACTTATCAACTAACAAGATGCCAGAATACTTCTATCAGCCCCAGTATAAGAAGCCTTATACTTAAGAGTCTTGGTGTGAACAGTTTCCCAGAATTGGGTGGGAAACTAGTCAGAAAGCTTATTGCCCTGCATCAGCTGAAAAACGAAGCCAACAGCCTTTTCCCTTCAAGTTCAAACTCTCAGAGAATGAGATCCTCAAAAATAACTCTTCCCCCATAGAAAGAACCAAATCCAAACAAGAGTATAGTATGATAACAATTTCCAAACACTGTTACTCCTGTCCTAATTTCCCAGCACTTAAAACAAGACAAGACTGAAAACCTCACTCAGCACAAACCTATATATGCACCTTGCCCGAAATCCACAAGACACAGCTTACCTCATTGAACTTCTTTTTCTCTCTCCCCCCCCAGGTAACAATTGTCAGCCCAGAGATTCAGACTTTGACACATAAGTCCACAATTGTCTGCATCTGAGAAATACTAGAGAAAACTTTGTACATAACTCATCATTTGACCATTTCTACTTAGGGGCCTCTTTAATCACGCAGATTACTTCCTATCTTGAAAGGAAACAAAAACCACACACACAAGCCCTACTACCTCATCCCTAGAACACAACCCCAAGAAAATCTAGCTTGTACAGTTTTCACTGAGCATGCTCTCTTCAAAGACCCTGCACACATATACACAGACACATAAAGACAGACTAGAGGAGAGGGGTCTGTTCAAGGGGGTAAGGTTTTTCATCTGTGTGGGCCTGCATTACTTGGGTGTAGAGGGTCCATCTTTGAATACTGTCACATGATGATACCTGTATGTGCTGAAGGGAATAGGAAAAAGGGAGTGAACTATCACTGGTTTTGGTTTGTAAACAGGTAGGGGTGAGAGGTATCCTGCATATGATGGGAGAGGAATGGCAGACCCACACAGGAATAACATCTGCCCCAACTTCCATGTGGATAAAAATGGGGGCTCTGATCGTTATCTCTTTCCTGTTTCCTCATTACTTTCTAATCCAGTGTTCAATGGAATATATTTATGAAGTCACCAGTTCTGTGGGACACGAAACAGAAAGGACACGGAGGCCAGGTAAATTTAGCAAACACTGCATTAATGGAAGCTAAGCAGTTTGCTGCAGGTGTTCTCAGAGCCTCTGCTATGTTAAATGGATTTTCTCTATATACTCATTGTATATAGAGAGGGTATAATTATAATTATTAGAAAAGGGTGATATACAAAATATTTAACCACCCGTATAACATAGACTTCAGCCAATAAGAATGGACCTCAGCCCCTATCTGCTGGCTTCACTGAACCCTTGATAATAGGCTCAGGTCAAACAATAGCCCCTGTAGTATGCATAGTTTCCCAACATTTTGCCCAAAGAACTCTGTTTTTTATGGTCACCTCACAGAACTGGTGAGAAGTGCTCTATCCACTGCTGGCATATCACCCTCTACAACATAGGGTCAGAGCTCACAAATCTGGCCATGGGAGTACAGGAGAGGGGCAGCCCTGGCAGTGACTACTGGTAGCACCGGCTGGTAAGACTTGATCATAGCTGCAGCGGAAACACATTTCAAAAGACAGATGCCCCTCTGTCCCAAGTGCTCCGGGGACTTTGTCCCTGGTGGGTCAGCAGGTGCCTGTCCAGGTGGTGCTTCCGGCCAAAGCTCTTCTCACAACGAGGACACTGGAAGGGTTTCTCCCCAGTATGAGTCAGCCAGTGTCTCACGAGGTGATGCCTTCGGCCAAAGCTCTTCCCACATTCTGTGCACACGTGACATTTTGGCACTGGGGGGGCCCGCTGCCGTTTCCGAGCCCCGGGGCCCTCTTCATCCTCTTGGCCCTTACAGGTTTTGCCTTCTGCATGCACTCTCTGGTGGCTGGCCAGATGGGCACTGCATCGGAAATTCTTTCCACACTCAGAGCACCTGCTGGGCTTGTCGTGAAGGTGGGTTTTCTGGTGCCTGATCAGATGATGTCTTCGCCCAAAGCTTTTCTCACACTTGAGGCAGCTATAAGGCCTCTCTCCGGTGTGTGTTTGCTGATGCCTGGCAAGGTGGGAACCCCACACAAACTGTTTCCCACACTGAGGGCAAGTATGGGGTCTTAACAGGGAATCCATCTCTGTGCTGCACAAAAGGTTTGAGAAGCTCTCTTCCTGGAGGAAAGGGGGGCCCAGGAGCATTCCTCTAGAGCTCCTGGGTGTGGATTCCCAGCTCTCATTCTGCTCCGGGTTCCAGAGAACAGTATCTTCAGACACACTGGATAGCATTCTCGGGGGCTCTGCTTCTAGTTCAGGGGTATCCCCCTCATGTTCACTTCCATCTCCTGTGAAGAAGGGAAGATATAAACCCTAAAAGGAGGAGTGACAAAAGACTACCCACAGGACCCAAGACACAAGTATGCATGATGCCATACAGGTTGTAAGATGCCCCACCTCACTCCTAAAGGAGTAGAGAATATCTTGTAATTAATGTACAAGATAGAGTGATAGGTACAGAAGTTTTCAAAAGCCTAGGCTTAAAAGCAGAGTAGTAGATACTCCATTTACTTTCCTTAGCCTTCATTTCTTCTTTAAAACAGAAATAACAACACTTCAATAGCACAATGTCTGCTCACAATAAACACGCAGTAAATAATTTATGCTATTTTTTTATTTATATACTACTGTTCATTTACGGCTGTCCATTACTATGAGTCACCAACTTCCTGCCTAAGTATAGAAGTAGAGACTGACTGAAGGAATGTGCTCCAATCATCACTGGCTGGGGGCCACCTGTCAGCAATTCCAGAGACATTGAGAAGTCATCCCTGCAACCAGTAGGAGGTGGAACAACAGTTTCAACAATAACAATCACATTTACCAAGTGCTTATTTTGTGCTAGGCATATAATTCCACTGTTCTAATGTGCTAACATATTAAATTCTGACAATAACTTATAGATGAAGAAACCTAAGGTTCCACCTGCACATTCCAGAACCCAAATCCATGACTCCAGTGCCTGCCCTCTGACCCTTTCTGATATTCTGTCTTCCTTTTGGAAGAATAGGATCCTGAAATCTTTTGATTAGAGGGACATGTAATGAGGATTCCCCCAAGAGAGGAAATGAAAGTCTATTCTGGGTCCTCACCAGTGTATGTGACCTTCAGTATATCTCGCTCCTCTAAGTCCTGGGGATCAGGGACCCATTGCTCTTCTCCTCCTTCTAGTTGAGAAAGCATGTCCAGTTTGGGAATTGGAAATCCTGCCCACAGTAAAAGAAAACAGAGATGTCTGTAAGTTCAACAGTACTTCTATGTCTATGAAAAGAAAAACAAACACTGTTTCCTAGCTTAGTCATTGATACTCAAGGTAAAATAAGGCCAAATAACAAGCCTTCTGACCCCTACCATTCTGTTAGGTGTCTTTTCTTTGTCCTAGAAAAATCAAATTCTTTTACCTCTTCCACTCAAATCTTTCCAGTCCTTGCTAGTCATAACCTTAGTTACGTCCTTTTTTTTTGTTTTACTATAACTGTCTCACCCCTGCACCCCCATCTTCCCCTATATGGTTCCCAAGTTTCCAAGGACCTAGATCCAGATGTTCCTTTCTTTGCTCTGTAAGAAGGTCACAATTCCCAACTAAGGTGTGTTTTTTGTTTGTTTTATGAGTTACCCCTCACCACCATTCTCTAAAGTAATTCTGGTGTTCTTCCTCTGATGGAAGCCTACACAGATTCCCTAGAAGATCTCTAGGCAGACACTTCCAAGAGCCGTAAGCAGAAGGCTCCTTCCCTAGAAGATCTCTAGGCAGACACTTCCAAGAGCCGTAAGCAGAAGGCTCCTCCCTCCCAGGGTACAACCTGTCTGTAACTAAGGAAGGTCATGCTTACTCAGAGAGACTACTATTCCACAATTTTCCTGCATGACATATTCTCCATAAAAGTCTGTCTGAGAGGGGTCCAGGCTCCGCCACTCCTCCTGAGAGAAGCACAGTGACACATCCTTGATGGTTACCAGGCCCTGAAACAGAGCATCATCTGTCAGCAGCTGTTCCTTATGGAAAATGTGATCTCAGTATGAAAGGCTGAGATAGTAGAAGAGAGAGGGCCAAAAGGATCTAGGGAAATAACTCCCCAGGTTGCTGCACAGGACACACAGTTTGGGTAAAGGCAAGATGAGGAAAGGAAGAAAGAAATGAGTCAAAATGTTGTCAGGCACCTTGTATTCATATACTGTTTTGTAGAATGGGAACTTCTTTGTATGACTACTTAAAGATAATAATAATAATAAAAGAATGTAAAATAAAAAGAGAGAAATGAGTCAAGCAGTGAGAGAGGGGAATGCTGTGTGCAACAGTGAGAAGCCACAGGCTCACCACTCTCTATGTCTAACCACAGGTATCTACTCAGTCTCTTCTTACCTGCCTCATTCTGTTCATTCCAAGAAAGTCTGTATCATCTTCACCTGCCTCCACTTATCCTTTCCTTTCCTAGCAATACAAAATGATAGAAACAAAATTTTCTTTCCCACCTCCCTCTTATGCTACAGCCTTATCTTTTCTGGTGACACAATATGGTGATATGGAAATTGGGTTTAGATTTTGGAACCTAATGACTATGCATTTCGGCACATCGAGGCAGAATACTGTTGTACAGGTATCTTAATTTGTCTCTGCTCTGATTTTCTAACTATAAATTGGGATGATTGAGTTGTTCTCAGAAAAAGTTATGGAAAGCACTTGAAAAGAGCACACGGGACAAGGGCTCAGGAAGTGTAAGTACAGATTATAAGCATTACTGCTTTTCCATGGCTAGTCTATTCCCTTCTGAATCTTCACTAACCTGTCTCTTTAGGGATTTCTTTTTCTCTTCTCTTATGCTTTATCACTTTCACAATTCTGTCATTTTCATATTCTTCCAAACTTTCTTAGGTTCTCTTTTCCTAGTCTTTGCAGCATTACTTTTTTGCTATTTCTTTTGTCTTTTGTTTAGTTTTACTTTTCAACACAGGCTCACACTATGACACATACACTAGCCTCAGACCATCAGTATGCCACACCATACTTGGCTTCAGATTTATTTCTTAAAGGTAGCTAATCAATTGTTCTTTAAAAATCCCACCTGTGGATAACACAGCCACACATCAAAAGCTCTAAGGGTCTTATGTGCCCCCTGGGAAAGGGATAGAAGCTGTACCATTATAAGATGAGCATACCATCAGTGTACATGTGAACTAACACATCAGTGGAATGATGCCAAAGCTATAGAAGGACCTTTGTGATGAGACCTTGGGAGAGGCCAAGGGAAACACAGCCCACCTGTGATCCGGCTGCAAGAAGTGCAGCTGCCATTTCCCAGTCTCCGGTGCTCCCCTCCTGGGGAATTGCAGGAACCCAGGAAGCAGACTGAGCTGGTGAGGGGAGAAAGGAGCCATTAGAGATGAACTATGAATCCTTTTCCAATATGTACCTTAGTCCCATTTTACAGGAGATGAAGGTCTCATCTTCTGCTACATCTATGCCCATAAGCATAAATAAGAATGAAGAGGAAAGTGGCACTGTGGCTCAAGTGGTAGAGCACTAGCCTTGAGCTGAAGAGCTCAGGGACAGCGCCCAGGGCCCAGAGTCTAAGCCCCACAACCAAAAAAAAAAAAAAAATGAAGAGGCCTTCACTCAAAATGTTCTGTGAGGGTTCTAGGTGGCTCTTAGGTATATAAGCTGTGGTTTGAATTTACATTACTTGAATGTAATGGAATTTTCAGCAAATGAAACTTACTGGCTGTATTCTCCAACAGTAATCAGTCCAGATACCACTTCCTTCTCCCACATTTAACACTACTAATGTAGAAACAGTGATTATGTAAGAAACAGGAACAGTCCAGTCACATTGTTCGGAGAGCCAAGAGCCTATTCTGTATTTGAGAAAAGGACCCGGGAAGAATGGACTGGTCCTAGTATTGAGTTTGCTGCTCTGTCCGTGACAATTTATGGATTTTTTTTTTGTAATCCTACTTTTTGAAAAGAGATCAGGAGACTATGCCCTGTGCTTCCCATGCATGCTGTGGATCCTCACTTTTCTCTTGAAGGGACTGTGGCTCCTCTTCAAGGTTGTGACATGGGTGCTCCAGTGGCCCTGGTGCAGTTCTCCATGTCCCTTCTTCCGGGCTTCCCCTTTCTTCATGGGGTGCTGCTCCATCCAGTTGTACATTCATTGACTCCCATCCTGTCCCCAGGGCTGTTGTCTGTTCTGAAAGCATTTTTGTGGCCAGTCAAAGTTTGTGACCTGGAAGAAAGCAATGAAATCAATAACAGCTCTATCCCATGAAAGTGAAAAGGGGTGATATTCCTAAAGAAGTTAAAGAGATCAGCCCCAGGGATAAAATATGAAACTAGGTTAAGAGGAGACTGAGGGAAGATGAGCTCTAAAAGTCTGATCTGTTCCAATCAACTGAGCCTGACTTAAGCTTCTTGGAGGAACTAAGAAACTGCAGGTGCTAGCTGTGAGCCATTGGCTTATATTGTAATCCTAGCTACTCAGAAAGCTAAGATTCAGAGGACTGCAGCCCAAAGACAGCCCAGGCAGAAAAGTCCATGAGAATTTGTCTCCAAAATAACCAACTAGAGGTGTGGCACAAATGATAAAGCAAGAAAGCCAAGCAAGCATGAGGCCCTGAGTCCCTACCACGCACACACATACACGTGCACAATACACACACACACACACACATGCACACACAGAGATAAGTGGAAAGAAGGAAGAAGAAAGAAAAAGAGAAGTAGAAGGAAGGAGGGAGAGAGACAGGAATAAAGAAGGAAGAAAGAAAGGAAAAAAGAAAGAGAAATGTTAATGCTATATAAGAGTCACTGTTACTTTGGGACCTCAAGGGAAAAACAGAATATCCTTGAAGGCTGGGAAAACTCCCTTAAAGAACCACTGAAAGTACAGAAAGGTAATAAAACTGGAAACAACACAGGAAAGAATGCACTCAGAACTGCCCTCAACAAAGATGGACATGATCATTTATAAGATTTTCTGCCATAAATCACATTCTCATCAATTAAAGTGAGATAATTACTACAGGAAGAAATCTTGGCCAGGGGATGTACTGTATCATAAAGGAACAGCTTTTTAAAGAAATTGTAATGCTGAAATAAATGGTATCTCACTCAACAAAAAGACACATGATGTGTCATTCTCAGGAGAACCTTTATAGACATGGTAAAAGACCAGTAACTCAGAGAGCGGGTATAAATCTCTGAAACAGCCCTTGCAGATAAAAGAAGTTGTTGGTCAGCACACAGCTAAAGTTTCATCAGAAAAAAAAGTGAAAAAAGAACTTGGAACAGGGATAGTAAAGGAGGAGTAGGGCTGCTAACCTGAGCTAGGATGGATGAACAGCCCAGTGCTTTGAGACAGAGGAACAAATTTGTTTGACAGGCGGGCACTAGCCATATCCCATTAGAAAAAATATATTCAATTTTAAAGAAAGGTACAGAGAAGCCAGCAAGTGTTCTTTGGAAGAAAGTAAAGTCAAGAAAGGGATAAGAAATTCAGCAAGATGGAAATGATAAAAACAACAGACACCCTTTTCTCTTGTTTCAGGAAGAAGGCTGATGAGTGGAGTTATTGATGGATGTCACTCTACTGATCAAACAGAAGAAATGACTTTTCACTTCTCTCTTGCAACAGGGAAGAGAGTTTAGATGAACAAATTCTTAATAATACTACAGTACATAAGACTGAGTTGTGGACTCTATTTTCTTCAGACATTTGTAGAGCAGGACAGGTACTATTTGAGAAAGAGTCTAAGATTATGCAGAATTTTTTTTTCCGCTTGGCAACATATTTTTATGCTTCTTATTCAACACTCAAGAATTGAACCCATAAAAGATTTCCAGGAACAGGTTAGAACAGGTCCCGGATCCATCCACTCAATAACATCTACAAGAACCCAAAAGACCTGGATAGGGCATAACCATTGCCAAGTCATTTGTTTCCTTGCATACCTGTCTTCAATAAAAGAGGTCTGAAGGAATTCCAGGCCTAATGCAAAGACTGAAGAAATTCTCTTGTCATCTCAGAAGTCCAGAGATGGTTTCAGCCTCATGGAAGCATCTTAGCTGAGGTTTCCTCTTCAGAGACTTCTCATGTAAAAGGAAAATCTCAATAACGAAATAATAAGGGAGTGGCTCAGTAATAGAGTGCTTGCCTTGAATGGATGAGGCCCTGAGTTCGATTCCTCAGCACCACAGAAACAAAAAGAAAAAAGCTGCAAGTGGCGCTGTGGCTCAAGTGGTAGAGCGCTAGCCTTGAGCTGAAGAGCTGAGGGACAGTGCCCAGGCCCAGAGTTCAGGCCCCACAACCAGACCCCCCCAAAAAAATAATAAAAGGAGCTGGGCACCAATAGCTCATGCCTTTAATTCTAGCTACTCAGAAGGCTGAGATCTGAAGACATGGTTTAAAGCCAAACCAGACAGGAAAGTCTGTAATTCTACTCTCCAACCACCAAAAAGCCAAGAGTGGAACTGTGGCTCAAGTGGTAGAGCACCATCCTTGAGCAAAAAAGCTAAGCGACAGCACCTAGGTCTTGAGTTCAAGCTCCCAAGAAATAATTATTAATACATATAAGTATTAATCATATTATTTACAATAAAAAGGAAACCCATGTTAGCTCTTTTCTCTTAATTCCAGCCCCTGTATTCTCTTCACTTTTAACACATGAGGTTCCCATTCCTCATTCCATGTTCTCTAGCTTTCATGGCAAATGTTCCTCCAGGTCTTTATGGCTAGTAAAGCATCCGGACCACTGTTTCAAACCCACTTCTCCATCTCCCCAGTTAGAATAATCCCTTGATGGGAAGCCTCTTTCTGCAGAGCTCAGTGGACCCATGCTGCATCTGACAGGAAGGCTAGCAACAACCTCAGCCTCTGCAGGGCTGGGTACCTATTCCCAGCTTGCATTTCCTAAGATGTTCATGGCAGAAGCAGCACCTGGGCTGTTCGGTAAGGGAGCAGTCCTAACCTGATTCCTTCTAGTTCCAGGACGATCCCATGTCTACCGGAGTCTGGGTTCTCTTGGATTTTCCTTTCCCACCTTTTTTTTCTCACGCATCAGGCTGGCAAAGGCATCTGCGGACAGAGAAGTTTTTGCAGTCAGTGCTGTGGGACAGAAGCGCGCGCGCGCGCACACACACACACACACACACACACACACAAAGAGCGGCCCAAGGACACCGGGACACACCACTGTGAGAGCCTCTTGGCCCCCCGCCGGGGGTGTGGCCGAGGCGGGACGGGGCCGGCCGGGGCTGGGCGGAGGGGGGGCGGTGGTGGAGAGGAGAGGTGGCTTCTTCCCTCCTCCCGTCACCGCGCCCCGGGAAGCGGGGTAAGATTTCAGAGAATCCCAGCCAGGCAGAACCGGAGCTGGGCAAAGGAAGCCGGTGGGAAGGGTGCCGGGGTACCCCGGGGAGCGGGTGACAGCGGCGAGCTGCCCGGCGGGGCCGGAGC